ATATTTAGGTCTCGTGTTCAACGATTTGATTGACAAGAGGGATATTTGTTGTGGATTCAATTCAGAAAGGATTAATGAAACCACGCCTGATGAAGGTAATGAAATAAGGTAATGAAATAAGGTAATTAAAAAGGTAATGTTGATATAATGATCAAGGTGAAAGTGAAAGACGTAGTAAAAAAGAAACCTTACCGGTAACATAAGGACAAGCAAATGATGTTCCTGATTTAATTGAAGAACCGTTTGATGGAAAAGGATAAGAAGAAAGAATTTCTTGACCTGGAGCAAATAAATTCACACATTCACCATAATTCGAGAAGCTCGAAATATGATCTGTTGGAGTAGTGGACCCAACAGTTATTGCTGTTCGAGCACTCGCTGGTGATACATGACATGCATCGACTCCTTTTCCTTCGATTCCATTTCCCGCTGCTGTCTGTAAAATAAAATAAAAATAAAATAAAATAAAATAAAATCGGATATAAATCAATACACAAACACATTAAATATAAATATGAATCTATTTTATGAATATAATATAAAACCTTACTGTTATTATTATTCCATGCTTGACCAATTCACTGACTGCAAGATTCACTGCCCTATTATATTCAGATCCAAGAGATAAGCTAGCAAATAAAACAATCAATTTATCTGTCCATTAATAATTAATCATGTAATATTTGCAATAATTATGTAGGAGTCATATGCGATAATTATATAATCATACTTTGCGACTGTTTTTCCTTTACCACCTTTAGCCAAATGACTTTGAATCACATATTGAAGTCCATAAAGAACACTTTCAACCGAGCCAGTTCCTTCATTATCAAGTGACTATTGATTATCGAATAAGTGACATGCAAAAATGCAAGAAAAGATAATATCAATACATATAATATACTTTAATAGCGAGAAAATTGACTCCAATATATATAACATACTTTAACGGCGATAAGATTGACTCGTTTTGCCACACCATAAGTTTTACCCCCAATTATGCCTATATGTTTTAAATTCAAAAATATTAAAAAAAAGATTATTATTATTATTTTAAAAATGAATGAATGGAATGACTTACGTACGTACGTACGTACGTACCTGCGACAAAAGTGCCATGCCCATTTTCATCCTTATCCATATTTCGTTTAGTAGTGGTTATACCCCAACTTGCGCGTCCTTCGAATTCTGGATGATCGATGTCAATTCCTCTAATAATATTAATGGAATAATATGAGTGGAATAATGTAAATGGAATAACATAAATGTAATAATATGAATGTAATAATATGAATGGAATACGGTATAGATATTGTTAAAATTAATTTCATCCATTTCGCTAACAATGATGAAACTTTCATATAATAATTATACTCACGTATCAACAACATAGACGTCCACACCATAACCTGCGGGTTCAGGATACGAATAAGTTTTTGACAACGGGCGTGAACGTTGATCAATTCTATCTAATCCCTAACATTATTTTTTT